GAGTGAGGAGGGCATCCCTAATAGGGTGGGTAACTTACCCAGGCCGAAGGCTTATCCCAGGAAGGGTAAGTCAGGATGTGAGGAGTTGAGTTAGGTAGGAGGTGATGTATCTGAAGGTAGGGGGAGAATTAGGGCGGGGCTTTGACAGCTGGGTCGGAGAGTCTGCTGAATATAAACCATTGGAATAATTGCAGATTCTTTCATGGCATTTCTGAACATGACATTTGAGGATGATGTTTATCTGTGTTGTTATAAGCTGGATTTATGGTAGGCTCTCTCAGGATTCCCAATCATGGATTTGCTTTCTCTTCTATATGTTTGGTTGTTCATTTGTTTGTTCTGCCTGCTCTTGTTGGAGTCATAAAACATGATTATTTAATTCCAGATTTTTTTTGGGGGGGGTTCATCTCTGGTATCTTCCTACTTTGTCTGTAGGCCCACTTTCCCTCATCTTCAGTAAAAAGTGGGACGAGCAAAGGACCACCCTGCACAACACAGTGGAGGGAAACAGAAACTATCAAACATTACTAGTCTCTGACCCTGCCATTCAGGTGGTCCTCCTCTGGGATTCCTGCTCAGGGTCCATGATCTACTTCAGAAGAGTGTATGACATTTTTTTTTTTTTTTTGAGGTGACCAACCTCAGAGGGCTGTGTGATTCAACAAATGTTTAGAACCACTGTTGTGGTCTTTGTTGAGTGGTAGGTGGCTGGGGATGGTTCCCCAGAATGAGAAATGTGGCAGTAGTATCCTTAGTGCCAACTAAAGGTGCCTCCAAAGACAGTCAAAGGGGCTAAAAAAGAGAGAAGAATTGGGAAAAGAGAAATGGGTTCAGAGGAACTAGTAGGACAGGTGCCCCGACTTCCCTGTTCTTCACACTCTTTCTAGCAGGTATTCCTTCTTTGTATTCTCCATATCCTAACCATTACAGGATTCCAGTTCCCCTTCAATGTAAATCTACTGAATGCCTGCCATTTGTCAGGCTCTATATCAGGTCCTCTTACAACATTATCTCCTGCAATTCCTGTGTTGAACCTGCAGTGCACAGAGTGGAGTCAGTCTCTCCCTCAGTCATGGTGCATTCACACCATTGCTTCCTGTCAAGCCCATTTTCAGTGCAGTTTATTTTCCCCTTTCATTCTTATCTCTATTCTCATTTCCCCTTCTCACTGGAGGCACTTGCTTTAGTGTATCTAACAAATGCTCTTCCAGTCCATGTTCTATATATGTTTTAGATACATTCACCCATTCAACAATTCCAGTGCCCAATTGTGTGTGCATTCTGAATTCTACTAAGATTGTGCTTCAGGATGGTGCCCCAGTGACACTCCCACCAGCAGTGTGTGATAGTGTGTATCTTCTTACTGAATTCTCATGTTGATCCAGTGAGAGAGATCAAGTAAGGTTCCTCGTGGATGAAGAGACTGAGGCTTAGAGATATTAAGGAAATTACCCAAGTTCATGTAGTCATGAGGAAGGGCCAAGGTTCACATCCAGCATTTCTGACCAAGTGTTCATTGATCTTATCTCTATAGTCGCCAGCACTGCCTGTTCAAGATGAGGCATCTGTAGACAAAGATAATAATATTATTATTATTGTTGTTGTACTGAGCCTTGCATTTCTTGATGCCTGGTCTAACACAGTAAGCCTAGGACCCCTCAGTGTTTTAGTACCAGCATGGATAAGGGTGTCTAATTAGAGTCCTTAGCATTTCAAGGTGAATCATACAGAATAAAACTGTTTTCATTGTCCCCTGAGGGTTGGCTAACAAGCTTGGGCTTTAGTGGATGATTTTGAGCCAGCACATTTATAAAGACTGACGAATTTTCAATGTTTGGTTACTTTGGATCAGATTTCTATATTAAATATGAGGTAGATGTTATTAAGTCCATATTGTATGCTAGGCCCTGAGCTACGTACTTAAGACACAATTTCACTTACTCCTCACAGCTGCCCTGTGAGGTATTTACTTTTACTCCCATTGGACTGTTGTGGAAATTAAAGTCTGGAGAGGTAAACTAATTTGTCCAGAGCCACTGGGTGTGAGGTTGAGGTATGACTTGAACCTCAACATTATACCTGCAGAGCTTTACTCCTAACTACTCAACTGTCCTGCCTTCCTGTGAAGAAAGCTTTTAGAATCTCTTCCCCTTGAACTCGAGGACAATTTCTTTTCAGTTGTGTGGATTAGAGCAGTCATGGGAAGTACAGGACTAGTGGACAAGAATCTCCAAGGGAGAGGATCTGAAGTTTGAAAATGTCCCCAGGTGTCTTCATTATGCCTCCCTCTGTGTCCTGTAGTGAGAACCTCTGCCTTAGGACATCCTACCTAGAATATAGAGCCTGAGCATGATGCCTTCAAAAAAGGAGGGATTCTCTAACTGGGCATGAATGATTGGTTGCCCATAACCCCAGGCAGCCTGATATTTTTAAACAAGTGTTCTCAAAGGCAAACGATTCTTTATCACCCAGTGTGACTCATAACCTGCCATGAATGATGGGCAGTCAAGGTTTTACCACAGTTGGTTTTCCCTTCACAGTATCCATTTTGCTCACCTTCCACAAGGAATGTAATACCATGTATATCTTTACCTGAGCCTGCATTATAAAGGTTGTTTGGCTACAAAGTATGTATCTCAATGTCTAGTATATAGGGATTCTGGATTATGGTCTCTTTCAGCGTGGTCATTTGTTCAACAAATATTTATTGAGCACATAACTCACAGTCTGATTGAGGAGACAGGCAGTTGACCTGGAATTTGGATACATGAGGATCAATGGCACATGGGGGAAGGCTGGTGCTATGAGAGCACATAAGAAGGGCAGCATAAGGGTCAGGGGAGGCTTCCTGGGGAAGCAAATGCTGAGCTGGAAATTGAAGAAGAAGTGGGGATTAGCTAAGTGAAGGGGCAAGAGGGGAGGGAACAAGAGGCAAGGGAACAGTGTGAGTGTCGAATTTAGAATTTCAAATTTCACAGCTGGAGCAGGAACTGGGCAGGGGATGAGGCTGGAGGAATAAGCACAGGTCAGAATATGATGGAAGGAAGCTCTATGAAGGAAGGGCAGTGTGGAACCACGGAAAGTTTTGAAGCCTGGTCGTGGGCTGGGGACACCTCAAAGAGCGTAAAAATATTCCGTAAGTTAAGATTTGATCCTCCTTATCTATCTTGTGTGCTTGTTGGTAAATCATAACCTTAGAACTGGTGAGTGGAGAGTAAGGAGTATAGATGGATTTGTAGACAGAAGGTCTGGCCCATAACCCAAGGGTTCCTTTTGATCATCTATAGAGTAGACTTTCCAATTTTGACTTGATCTTTCTGTCTTTAAAAACCTCTGACAGCATTTCCTAAAATTCTCTCAAAACCAAAGCCTGGTTGGGGAGGAGAGTGGTGACTGCATGACTTTGTTGTCTCTTCTCCATTACTCATTTCCTGGCATTGCTGTGAATTGTTCATCCAAAGCCTTTTTCCCCTTGAGGAGGGGGACCTTTGAAGAACATCAGGGGAGGAGGGGGAAGAGGGAACAACATGCAGGATTCCTTCAGTATGAAAACATTCAGATAACAGTTTGAGTGAGTTAAAAATAACTTCTTGTGAAAAATTCATGATTTAAAGGTGAATGTTTTAATACAGGCTCACAGAGCAGGGCAGATTCTCCAGGCCCTGGCAGCTGACATCCCAGATGGCGCAGGGTGTGTATAGAGCACAGTGTGGCCAGTGAGGAGACTGTCTGCAGAAGTGCGCTAGCCTTCTCTCCTGGAACCCAGAGAGGGAGGAGACAGAAGGAACTCTTTTTGTTGAGAGCTAGTGAGTTAGGTGACTTATTTCTTTTCTCCCTACCCATCACACTGTCATAACTATGGACATAAAAAAGGTAGTGAATTTTTTCTGGGTGCTTTGGGTGAGGTTTATTGAATGTCAGAATTCACAAAATATCCTTTCTGGCTCCTCTCCCTTCTCAGTCATGGACCCTGGGTTGGCTGCTGCCCCCATTTCTCCAGTGTTTCCTTCCCAGGCAGCCTGGTCCTTTCCTTCTTGCAGGTGGTTATGAAGGTCCTGCCCCTTTCTCCCTCATCTTCTCTGTTCACAGCACCCCTGTGGGCCTAGGTGGGGAAAGGGAAGGGGTGGATTTACATCCTTGGCCATCAGCACAGCTGAATGGATGATGCAGAATGAGAAAAAAGGGGACCAATGTGACATCTGACCTTGGGTAGCAGATTTCGGGGCTAAGAGTTTTAAGACTGAGGACCAATATTTGTATTTTAAACTCTGATGATATATAAAAAATGGGTCTGTAATTGCAATGAGGCCCTCTAGTCCATGAATTAATGTGTCATAACTCATGCTCAAGTACTGTGCACACACCCCATGTGTGAATTCTTGCACAATACATTCATGCCCATTGTGTCTTACCACCTAATTAGTAGATGAAGTTACATGACTTATGAACTCAAATGGGATTTGAGCTTCACGTGGTGTGTAAAAAAGGAGAATGTTGGGGTGCCAGGGTGTCTCAGTTGGTTGAAAGTCTGACCATTGATATCAGCTAAGGTCTTGGTCTCAGGGTTGTGAGTTCGGGCCCAGTGTTGGGCTCCATGCTGGGCATTGAGTCTTGAAAAATAAAAAAATAAAAAAAAAAACCCAGAATATTGGGAGGTATTTGGTACTTTTTCTGGGGGGAAAGCAGGATTGATTTTTCTATGTCTTTTGGTGTCATTTTCTGTGATACTTGGGCTACAACAAGTTACATGTGAATTTGAGTTTTGGTTGGTTGGTTGAACACCGTTGTTCAGTAAATATTTATTGTTTTTCTAGGCATTATGGAAGGATAGCATTTACCAGATGAAATATGAAGCAGCAGCTCTGAAGCCTGAGCAACGGACCTCGGCAGCCCCAACCCATCTTGGCTTAACTCAGCCTCACTGAACCGGATCCAACACTCTTGGCCCCTGGGCTTGCTAAAGCTCTCTGATCCGTAGAATCTTCTCAATTCCAGCTAGAATGCTGTGTCAGGCACTTCGCAGATTTGGTCAAAAGCTGGTACGTAGATGTCTGCTGGAGAAAGAAGTGCCTGAGTTTGAAATTGGCAGAAGCCTGAGCACTCTGGATTTAGTGGCTCTGGGTGTCGGCCGCACAGTAGGTGTTGGTGTGTATTTCCTGGCTGGTGAGGTGGCTGGCAATCAAGCAGGACCATCCATTGTGATCTGCTTTTTGGTGGCTGGCCTAACATCGTTGTTGGCTGGGCTGTGCTATGCAGAGTTTAGTGCCCGGGTTCCCCATTCTGGCTCCGCATATCTCTACACCTATGTCACTATGGGTGAACTCTGGGCCTTCATCACTGGCTGGAACCTCATCCTCTCCCTTTTTGCTGATGCAGTTATTGTGATCAAGGCCTGGTTCTTAACTTTTGACATCTTGTCTGGGAACTGGATCTCTGACACCCTCCCTGAGAGCATCTCACAGCATATTCCCCAAGTCATTGCAGACAATCTAGGCTACTTTGCTATGGTCCTTCTGTTGTTGCTCATAGAAATTGAAGATCTGAGTGATCGTGCATTCTTCATAGTTTTCAAAATGTTCACATGGGTGAAACATTTGGTTCTCAGTTTTGTCATCATCTCTGGCTTCATGAAGGGGGATCTGCACAACTGGAAGCTCACAGAAGAGGACTATGTAAAGGCTGGACTCAATAGCACTTCTAGCTTGGGCCCTCTGGGCTCTGGGGAATCCGTGCCTTTTGGCTTTGAGGGGATTCTACGTGGGTCAGCTACCTGTTTCTATGCATTTATAGGTTTCAGCATTATTGTTACCAGAGTCAAAGAATCACACAATCCAGAGCGTTCCATCCCAATGGCCATTGTGATTTCACATTTCATCTGCTTTTTGTTGTATTTTGGTGTTTCTGCAGCACTTACACTCATGGTGCCTTACTACCTGATTCAACCTGGGAGCATTTTGCCTGATGCATTTCTCCACATCGACTGGGCCCCTGCCTACTATGTCATATCTTTTGCATTCCTCTGTAATATTTTTGTCAGCATTTATTGGGGCTTTACGTTCCCCATACGTTGGGTGATACACATGATGGCAAAGGATGGCGTCCTGTTTCCAGTCCTTACCAAGATCCATACCGGCCCATATCCCTCCATCCTGGTCACTGTGATCTTTGTCACTATTGCAGCAATCATAGTATTCTTCTTTGGACTCACTGATCTTCTGGACCTCAGGTCAATTGGGACGCTGATATCTTATTCCCTGGTAGCTTTTTGTGTTCTCATCATCAGGGATCAGCCTGAGAGGAGGAAGAAGAAAAATGAAGCAGAGATGCAGGAGCATAATGAGGAAAATGAAGCAGAAGTACAGGAGGAGAATGGGGGAAATGAAGAGCAGGTGCAGGACAAGAATGAAGGAAATGAAGCTACGTGTGTTCTCATCCTCAGGTGTGAGCCTGAGAGGACGAATGAGGAAAATGAAGCACAGATGCAGGAAGAGAATGGGGGAAATGAAGCACAGGTGCAGGAGGAGAGTGGGGGAAATGAAGCACAGATGCAGGAGGAGAAAGGACCTGCAACAGAGAAGCTGACTCTACAGGGACTATTTTTTCCAGGCAGCCACACCCCCACTCCACTCTCTGGCCGGGTTGTCATTGTTTGCTCCTCACTGCTTGTTCTGCTGCTGACTCTTCTCTGCCTGGTGCTGACCCAGTGGCCAGGTCTGCTCTCTGGAGACCCAGCGCCGATCACAGTGGTTGTGCTGCTCCTGGTGCTCATCACTGGGATCACTGGGGTCATCTGGAGACAGCCACAGAGCTCCACTTCCCTTCCCTTTAAGGTCCCTGCTGTGCCTCTCCTCCCACTCCTGAGCATCTTTGTGAATGTTTACCTTATGACGCAGATGACAGCTGTTACCTGGGCTCAGTTTGGTGTCTCCATGTTGGTTGGGTTTGCTCTCTACTTAGGCTCTGGGATCCAGCACAGCCTTAAGGGCCCAAACTGTAGCTCTTGAACTCAGCAGTGCCAGGACATATTGGTTTGACCTGAACGTAGTCTGGTCCCCTACACAATAATGGGGAGTACTCTTGAGTGTGTGGAAATCTAGGGCTCCTTTGAGATATTGGTGGGGGAACACTAATAGAGCTCTGTATTTATGGTACAGTGAAGGATGTGTCTTTTCTCTTTCTCCTTTTTTTTTCTTTCTCCTTTTCAATTGTGTCTATAGCTGCTTACTAGCTTTTACAAAATTATTATTAAAAGAAACTTGAAAAAGTGTTTCCCTTTTCTTTGGTTAAATATCCACTAATGAAGGCGGCGTCTTGCTGACGGAGTCAGTAGAGCATTACTCTTGCTCTCAGGCTGGTGGGTTTGAGCCCCACATTGAATGTAGAGATCACTTAAGAAATATCCAGCAGCAGATTTACTGGATCATATGGTAGTTCTTTTGAGGAACCTCCATACTGTTTTCCATAGCAGTTGAATCAATTGACATTCCCAACAGTGCATGAGGGTTCCTTTGTCTCCATATCTTTTACAACATTTGTTTTTCTTGTCTTTTTTATTTTAGTCATCCTGACAGATATAAAGTGATACCTGATTGCAGTTTTAATTTGTATTTCCCTGATGATTAGTGATGTTAAGCATTTTTTCATGTGTCTGTTGGCCATCTGTATGTCTTCTTTGGAAAAATATCTATTCAGGTTCCCTGCCCATTTTTTAAATTGGATTTATTTTTGTATTGAGTTGTATAAGTTCTTTGTGTACTTTTGAGTATGAACTCCTGATTGAAATATCATTTGCAGGTATCTTCTCCCATTCAGTAGGTTGCCTTTTTTGTTGTTGGTGGTGGTTTCCTTTTCTGTGCAAAAGCATTTAGTTACATGAATTTGAAAAGGTATATGCATTCCTATGTTTATTGCAGCATTATTTACAATCTCCAGGATATGGAAGCAACCCTAGTGTCCAACAATAGATGAATAAGGAAGATGTGGTATATATGTATATACAATGGACTATTAGCCATAAAGAAGAATGGAATCTTGCCATTTACAACAACATGGATAGACTGGGTGGGTATAATGCTAACTGCAATATGAAAATTTCTCTGTCTGAGAAAAACAAATGCCATATGTTTTCACTCATATAGAATTAAGGAAATAAAAAAATTAAAAAGAAAAAAATTGAGACAAACAAAAAATCCACCTCAGACTCCTAAATACAGGGAACCACCTGGTGGTTGCCAAATGGGAGATGAGTAGGGGAATGGGTGATTTAAATAAAATTAATTAAGAGTGCACTAATCTTAATGAACACTGAGAAATGTGTGGCAGTGTTGAATCATTCTATTGTACACCTGAGAGTAACAACACTATATGTTCGTATACTTCAGTAAAAAAAAAAAAAACTAGAAAAAGATGAAAAATATGAAAAATGGCCCCTACACTTAAGAAACTGATATTCTAGGGCGCCTGGGAGGCTCAGTCATTAAGTGTCTGCCTTCGGCTCCGCTCATGATCCCAGGGTCCTGGGATCGAGCCCCACATCGGGCTCCCTGCTCAGCGGGAGGCCTGCTTCTCCTTCTCCCTCTGCCCCTGCTTGTGTTCTCTCTCTCGCTGTGTCTCTCTTTGTCAAATAAATAAATAAAATCTTTAAGAAAAAAGCTGATATTCTAACACAAGGGGTAAAGCATAGCTGTAACACAAAGTAGAAAGTGATGTCATAAGTAATATACAAATATAGTGCCTTGGGAATTCAGAGTGGAGGATGATCATTTGTGGTGGGCACAAAGGTGAGAGTTGATTAGTGAAATCCGAAAAGACTTCGTACAGAAATGGCATTTGAGTTGGCTCTCTTCCGGGATAGGATTTGCCACAAGTGGGGGGCAAAGAGAGAGTGTAGGCAGCGAGAACACCAGGAGGAAAAGCAGAGGAAAAGGAAGCTGTGTTCAGAGCACACTGAGCAGGCTGCGTACTTGAGTCTTGGCTATGTGAGGGGAACAACAGAACATGCACAGGTGTTTGGAGCCAGAGCTTTCCTCTGAGCACAGAGCACTTTGGCTTTGAGCTCACCACCCATGCTGAAAATCCCTGGGTTGGTACTTCTCTTAGCGACATTTGCATTCTTGGACTTCAAGTTTCTGTACTGCTGTCTGCTTTGGTTCACCTGCTCAGAAAGTTCACATCTGAGAGCCGCGTGTCCTGGGTTCTGATCTTGTTTCCCACCACTAACTAGCAATGTGACTTTGAATAAGCAGCTTAGTTCCTTCCATGCTCTGCTTATTTATCTGTAACTGGAGAGGTCAGAACCGATCATTTCTCAAGTTCTGTTTACTTAAAAAATTCTGAGATCTCCTCTGGTTCTCTGTCCTGTTATTCTTTTAACTACGTCTCTCTACTGCACACAATCTGAACCTGCATCCTGCCCACTTTTCACTACAACCCATTACTGGAGCTGTAAGATCCAAAAAATAACACCCCCATTTCCCCTTCCTGTGTTTGGAACCTGTTGATAAGAGTGACAGAGAGAGAGATGATTAAACTGTCAGCTGTAGATCTGCAGCCTAATTGGCTTGCTAATCCCACCTAACTAAACAGAATTACTCATCACAAGTAGTGCTGAGTATCCCTCTCCTGCCTCCACAGGAGAGTGACTGCTTTTATTAGTTTTTCTCCTGTATGAACAGGTTGGATTGCATGTGTCCAGTGGGAGGTTTGTTCTGGACAAAAAAGAAAACCAAACCAAACCAAACCAAACAAAACAAAACTGGAAGAAGCTAAGTCCGGTATGCTGTATTATGTCTTCATTTCATTAATCAAGGTCCCAGTGAGAGAGGGCCCCTTGGAGAGTGGTGAGGACTAGTCCTCTGCTCAGTGGTGCTCAAACTTCAGGGGGTGCCATGGCACCTGGAGGGCTTGTGAAAACAGATCACTGGGCCCCTACCCCCAGTGTTTGGAATTCAGGAGGTCTGGGTGGGGCCCAGAATGTGTACTTCTAACAAGTTCCCAGGTGATGCTGATGCTGCTGGTCCAGGGACTACATTGACGACCAAAGCTCCAGCTGAAGCCTCTTCACGTGTAAAGATGAAGTGAGGGAAACAAAGGCGTTCTTTCTACACTCACCTTCATTTAATGAAATATTTAGGTTAAAATACCATCATTAATCCTTTCACAGTGGCAAATCATAATGAACAATTTCACAATTATATGTATATCAAATTAACACTATGTACACTTTAAATATCTTACACTTTTATATGTCAGTTGTAACTCAGTAAACCTGTGTGTCTTTATTTTTTTGTTGTTGTTCCTAATTATAGATTACAGGTAGGTAAGGAGTGTATCTTGTTTGCTCCTCCAGAGCATCCAGCTGGAGGCCAGGCACATAATGAGCATTTAATAAATTAATGTTAAGTTGAATTGAGCCGTATACATTTCTTTGGTACGGAACATTCTACTTTCTTTCAGGCTAGCACTGGGCTACTCCTTTAAAACTATCTTCTGGGAAACTTCCTTGACAAACAACATTTCTCTCCATCCAGAACTGACTGTACCCGGCATCTAGTACTGTACCCAGGCACTTCTAGTCTTGCCTTTGTGTGGCGTTGCCTGAGTTCTGGTGACTGTCCTGTCTGTTCCATCAGAGTGGAATCTTGCTCAAAGCAAGGAGTAGGTTCTCTCCTTCCTCTAGACCCAACATTAAGAGCAGTGTTGTTCATTCAAAGAACAACAGGAAAAATACAGCCCTGGAGCAGGAGAATGCCTGACATGACCTCCCCAGGTCCTGCTCCCTCTCTTCCCATGGGTGTGGGGAGGGGATGGAAGAGGAGACTGGCTCCAGCGTGGGCGCAACAGGCATCCTTCCTGATGCAGTCAGTTTTGTGCTTTGGTATAGGAGGGCCAGTGTTTTTCTATTGTATTTATGCATGGGGCCTACCCTGGGAGGGAGGGAGGGAGGGAAGATACTTTTTACTTGCTGAATTTCTCATCTTCCCAAAGGATGTAGGTGGCTGCAGGGAAGCCTGCCAGAGGTAAGATTATCCATACACTTACCTACTCCTTTAGATGCTTCTTTGAGGGACTGGTGCAAAATCCTTATGAGAGCATCTCTGATTCTTTGGGGAGAGAGAATTATTGCCCCACATAGGGAGAAAAACAGACTGAAGTACGAGGAATTCAGAACTGAATATAGATTGAGGCATCATTCCTCTGGAAGGGAAGATCTGAGTAGAAACTGAGAGAGAGGTTGGTCAGGAGACACTTCCTGGAGGAGGATGCCTATGGAGCAATTCGGGAAATAAAAGACAGGTAGGTGAGTTGGAAAAGATATGGAACAGTAATTCTAGGTACATGGACCTTTAAGAGTCATGAAAGTATGAAACTCTTGTGAGGGATGTTTTTTTCACATTTGAAGGCAATTTATGAAACAGGTTTGTATTGTGTATTGTGCCATAGAGTGAGATTTCTGAATCTGAAGAGATGAGATATGATTTTCATTGCCATCTGGAGGATAGACAGACAGAGGATGTGGACAGATCGACTCTTCCTGGGAGACAGTTGTAGCAACTTCTACAGTCATGGAGATCCTGCTTTTCAGAGTGTGGTCCATGGAACAGTAGCATGGGTGTCATCTGGGAATGTCTTAGAAATGCAGAATCTCATACCCCCATGCAGATGTACTGAATCAGAATCTGCGTTTTTAACAGGCACTTCTTAAAAAATGTTTTATTGTTATGTTAATCACCATACATTACATCATTAGTTCTTGATGTAGTGTTCCATGATTCATTGTGCATAACACCCAGTGCTCCACGCAGAATGTGCCCTCTTTAATACCCATCACCAGGCTAACCCATCCCCCCACCCTCCTCCCCTCTAGAACCCTCAGTTTGTTTTTCAGAGTCCATCGTCTCTCATGGTTCGTCTTCCCCTCCGATTTCCCCCCCTTCATTCTTCCCCTCCTGCTATCTTCTTTTTTTTTCTTAACATATATTGCATTATTTGTTTCAGAGGTACA